TTCATGAATCTGTATTCATACGAAAAAAGTATATGCTATACCACATGGGAGAACAACTGAGTCCCATTGGTATTCCCAGCGTCTGTTTCCATGTGGCGCCACCATGTGTAGTGTATGCGTTTTTTATTAACAAGTTATTCATTCTCCCGATGTCAGAGGCACTTAGTATTGTTGTGGTGTTTTGTCTGAGTGATGTCCAGGTTGCCCCGACTTCTATCTCTGACCCATTGTTTTTTATATTGCATGCAATACCGGTATTCCTCCCATATGTCTTCCTTGCTTCTTTGAATGCAAGATTGATGAAGAAGTTGATATCTGCAGGTAGTCCGTCTTCTGATTCATCCGTTGGGATTGACTCATAACATTTTGTGATATCTGCAGAGTATATATTGTAGATGTGTGCGGGTAGGTTGTATATGTAGTCTGAAAATGACTCGACTATCCACCAGAACGGGACGTTTACTCCGAATTCTTGTTCTGTTGATTGTGTGAGCATACCACAGTGCTTTTTGACCGTTAGCGCAATTTTCTTTAGTGTGGCAGCACAGATATCTGCAAGGGGGGAGAAGATTACGTCTGCTGCATTCGTCAACCATCTAAAGTCGTTTTTATGTTTTTTATATGTTGTCATAAGGTAAGGTAACTCTGTGTTTTTGATAGGTACGTAGGGAAAGTTTGTTTCGATCTGACAACAGATAGATCTAGTTATTTCACCTACTGTACATTCACATGGAGTGAATTCTGTTCCTGAAAGCCTACGTAGTGCGAGGTACCTGATGAGGTTAATACAAGTAAATGTAGGAGTGTTAGGTGCTTTGTCAGTCCCAGATATGTAAAAGTGTTGTGTTAGAAAGTCAATTTAATTTCTAGTACTTGGTTTCTCAATATCACTCTTAATTGGAACGTGGAAATTTGCACAATTTCTATTTACGATCTGTGTAAGTTGTTACTGTGTTGCTGTGAGTTGGTCACTTGAAATGATTGAGCTCTTTTGGTTGATTAGTTCTATGGTTTTCCGTAAAGCCAAAGTGCATTCTTTCTTAATCTCATTTTGATTGCAGGGCTTGAGTGGTATGTGGTTGAGACCTTTTTCAACTAGGTTTCTTAAATCTGGGTTTCGTATTATTATTGTGTCAAGTGTGATGGCGTGTGGTTGAAGTGCATCATCACCGCATTGCTGGATAAACTTTTCGTATCTGCGGTGTTGGCAATGGCAAGTTTGGTCTTGTTGCTCATACCATTGGTTGAGGTCAAAATTCTTGGACACAACAGTTGGTTTATATAGTTGTTTGGCGAGGTGGTTGTCATAGGTCCATCCAAAGGTTATGTTCTGTAGCCTTTCTGCTGCGAGTGAGTTATGTTTATTGAGTAAGTTTGTAAAAAGGTTTCTTTTTTTTATTATTTCCATAAGCCTGTTCTTATAGTGTAGGTGGATGATCTTCTTGCGGGGTTCTGTTGCCCGTCTCCAGCCTCTTCGTCCGTCTTCCATGATATGCAGGTAGTTGCCCTGTCGGGAAACACAAATATTTATGACATTCGTTAGTATGGACTGGTTGTATTTATGAACTTTATCAGTTTTCTTTAGTCTAGGGTTTAGGGTTTAGGTGTGGTTTTGGTTATATGCATTATTCTGAGAACGGCGGGGTTAGTAATTGCGGAGGTAGGGGAGCGAGGAAATTTGGCTGATTTCTGTTTTGGGTTTTGGAAAGGAAAGGGTGAGGGGCTGGTTGGCAAGAAGGTGATACATATGCGAACAATGTTTTGTGTTGAAAAAAATCTTAAATAAACTCATCGGACACATATATAAAGAATCAAGTTTCAGTAATTACTGTCGGGTGAATCTCACGTGCGTCATTATGGTACCTATCTAGGGATTTCGTTCAGTGGAAATTCAGTTAAAATTTAATGTGGTCTGAGTACTTAACAAATGCAGTAATCAGGCCTCCATATCGAGTAGTAGATTCGAGCATCTGGGTCTGCTAAGTGCTATCTCTAGCTATCAATAACTTCCTTTGTTCTACAGATTAGCTAGCGCTAATCTATCTCTGTCATAGTCGTTGCACAGGTCCCTTCTGATGGTCTTGGGATGCAAGGAGCCGTCGTCGTTGCCGGTGTAGATCTCGCTGTTGGTTTCAGTTCTTGAAGCAGCGAGGGAGTCTTCAATGTCGAAGTTCTTGAAGATGTGACCGAAGGTATAGACCGCTCTGGCCGGAGTATCTGGAGAGGGTGATCCGACATTGATGGTTGTCTGACGTCGGGTACCGTCTTCAATGCTTTGGTCTTGGATGTGGATGACCTGGACCTGCGGCGGTTGTGTGACTGCTGTCTGTGCTTGCCCTCTGTTGATTTGGCTGCGTGTGAGCAACCAGCTAAGGCTGCCTGCCAGCCGGATAGCCGAGCCAATCTGTAGGGATCCGTGGGGGGTAGTGGTGGAGAGTGGTGCAGGGGGGCGTGTGCCTGTCAATTGGCCTGAAAGTTGGAGAATTGGTGCCGTCGTGGACGTGTTGCATGGAGTTGCGAGGATGCTTGTGATGAATTGATGTGTCTGCGCTTGCTGGTTTGCATTAGCGTGGTTTCTGTTCCTTCGTTGCCCGACGTTGCTGCGTCGAGCCCCATTGTGGTTTGGTCTGCGTGGCCCAGTGTTCTTCCTTGCTCTTTTCTGTTGGCGGTTGTCTGGGTCGCAGTGCTGCAACGTGCTGTGGCTTGGATTGGGGTTTGGTGTTGTGTTCTGGTTGCGCGGTGACAGTGACTGAACAGGGGGATTTTGTGCATGTGGAAGTGGTGCAGTTGAGCGAGGCAATGCTGCTGCAGGAGGTGGGATAGAAGCTTGAGCATGTTGTGGGGCTGGCGTGCAGCTGTGTTGCGGATTGTGTGTGGCTGGTGTCGTGCTTGCTGAAGCAGCTCTTGGGCCTTGCGCAGTGTTTGAGGCAGGTGTAGTGGAGGCGCATTTGCCAGAGACTGGTGTGAATGGCAGTGGTGTCTGTCTAGATCTGCTTCTGTGTGCAATGTCCCGTTCAGCAGCCCACACACTTCTTCTGCTGCTTCCTGCTGCGGCTGGTGTCTTGGCAGGGGCGTCGGGAATCATGATGCTCGCGAATCGGTTTGCAAAGGGAACATTCTTCAGAGAAGGATGGTCAGTGAGTCCTTCGACAGTAGTCATGTTATCGTCGATGAGTCTGTCAATCAGGTCTCTCATAATCTGCCTCATGTGCAGGAAGGTGACTTGGGCCAGGACTGGTCCCTTCCATTCTGTCTCTAACTTCTGTTGAAAGTCCAGCATGCGTGTCACGTCTGTTGGCGCCGCTGGGTCGAAGAAGTTCAAGTTGGCGATGTAGTACCATATCATATGATCAAACCAGGTGATGGACTTTCCGCAGTTCTTCTCACGGGTGCACTTGAGATATGGTCGGCCGATGTTCTACATTTTCTTGACTTCTTCTAGTGTCTGTGGGACTCTAGTGAAGCCTTTCTGTGTGAGAATAGGCTTAGAGACTGCACATTTGGTTTTGTCCAATATGGACAATATGGGGAACTTTCCGTCAAAGGGTGGTCTGTTGGTGGGGAAGTGAAGTGCAAAGTTGTGTGCAGCCTATTTGCATGCTTCTATATCAGCGTCAGACAGATTGGCAAGAGCCTTGTATCCTTCAATCGAGATGGGCGCAGTATAATTGAAGGAATCTAAGTGCCAAAGCTTGTGTGCAACATGCTTGCTGTTCTTCTCTACCCAGGTATCCGAGGCAATCGGTAAAAAGTGGCTGTCTTGTGCAAATTTGTGCACTTCCCCTGTGTGATCTATTGTGGTAGAGGCATTGGCTGTTACGGAGCTGAGCCTCCGCTCATGCTGCTTCTCTAAATAGTCTATCTCAGCTTGAGACAGACCAATCCGTTGTCTACGAGCCTGTCTTCTGACATTTACCTCTGTTGAGATATCAATGTCCTCGACATCATTCAGGTGATCAGAGCAGTACCCAAACTTATCTAGCATAGTCTTCTCACCCTTGGCAATGACCCTGTTAAGTTCCCTATTATGGATCCGATTCCTGCTAAGGATGACTGCCACATTGGGTGCATAGGCTTCAATGAGACAGTGCATCTTCTCTGGCTCAGTTTCATACTTAGCACTAATAATCGCCCAATCACTGAAAGTGAGTGTCTCAATTAGGCTGGTCGGTTGAGTGGCAGCGTGGAATAGGTGGAGAATTTTCTGTGGGAACGTCATCATGATCAGCTGAGAGTGAACAATCGGTGGTTGCAAGTTGGCAAAAGGAGCCACCAAGGGTGCCAGATCTGCATGCCAGCCGCGGTTGATGATCTCTTGGTCCTGCACATGTCAACATAGGCAGGGTTGGTCAGTTAGTTATGGTAAGTTTTTTCTGGGGGGGCTAAGGGTTACGTGCATCTGTATAGGATCAGAACTAAAGGCCTCTCGGGGGGACTTACCATTACGTTGGGCCAAAGGATCCGTCTGCAAGCTTCATACTTCTCAATAACGCCCTACAAGAGTCAAGGGAAATCAAAATCAATTTGCTTGTTTTTCTAAGCTTCAGGATGTTGTCCAGAGGGAAGAGATCTAGGGGTTCTCATATTTATGTATTAATATATTTCCAAACTTAAAAATTAAAAAACATATATATATACATATATAAATACCTTTACGTAAATTTGTGTGTCTCTCTCTCTATATATATGTATATCTTTTAAATATATGGTGCCAGGTAAGTTTGTCATAATTGGGGACACGATTGTTTCACCCGTTTTTTGCCGGTCGCAGTTTCATGTGTATGTCCAATTTCTTGTTATGCTGTTTTTATTTTTTCGTTTGGGGTATGTGGCCGTGATCTCGGCCTGTTTCGATATCTTGTCACGCTCCTACATAAGATATGTTCCACTACCATGGGCCTCTATTCCTGGAGGGTCGCGTCTCTTTACGAGCGTTTTCGTACCCGGTGCGCGTGGGTGTCGGTTCGACTATTAGCCGTTGCTAGTGTTTCAGGTTTTCGGGTCGTAATGGTCTTATCATTTCTCGAAAGGGTGGTCACTTTCTGTGTCGTATTCACTATTTAAATAAGCGAGGGATACGTCAGTGTGTGTAAGGCATATGTGCACTGGTATCCATTTGTATTGTCGTTGGAGTATCTGATTTCGTGCCACTAGCGCCAGGTTTACATATACGTGGGGTCCGGTCTATATCCAAGCGAGCTTCCATATTGATCATGTCGGTTTCTTTTGTAGCGCGAGGGCATATTGCGGGTCGCGTCGTCATGGCGTTCGAGATGTGTGATCTTCGAGATTACCAACTGAATCGTGATTTCGATTTTACTAGTGCAGTAGATCGGCACGAGATTCGTCACTATGAGCTTGATGCCAATGGGGAGTTGGTGCTACGCTTGGTAATTGGGTTGGGTTACGACGGAGAGTACCTTCGTGAAGTAATCGTCTACGTGACGAAGGTAGGAGCTGATGTCCCGAATGTTCATGTTGGAGCTAGTGAGGACATCGTCGAATCTGTGGTGCGCTTGGTAACATCAGCCTTGCTTCGGGAGCATGGCGATTATCTGTCATCTACCGTGGAATGGGAGGCGAATCTGGATGCGCCCTTGGAGGGGCATGCATACATGCGAGGTATATTGCAGTTGTAATAAACCGCGGCGTTTCTGGTTGTCCGTAGTGGTTCCGGGCGATACGTGTAACAGCATGGTAGGCCCTGCGTGCAGTTGTGCGGTATCATTTCGAGGGAACGAGCGTGTTGGTCATCGTGCGGTCGGCAAGTGTGAATCGTACTATAAAGGATCATGTTTTACGAGTATACGGTTTAGTGGAGGATTGAGATCAAGGAGAATCTTGATGGCACGCTGTCATAGTAGCAGGGTGAGCTATGTAGTGCACTCAGAGTGATTCACGGAACTAAGGCTGACTTGGCAACCCTGCCTCATACGTATTTGTGGTCACGTAGTGAGCATGGTTGTGTCTTAAGGGCACCGTTTTGACATGCAGAGTATCATGTGCAGGGCGTGGATCGAATATGTGTGGTGGATCGCCGTTGATTTGGTTAAGACTGCCGTGTTATCCTTTGTGAAATCCTTAGCAGAGCATGGTTATGTGCTGGCAGTGTAGCCCATGGTATACGCGTAGGGGTAAGTGTCATTTGGACTTGTTTTCATGATGCAGTCGAAGGTGTGACGTGTTCCACTTGCGCATGGCGGGCGCTGTTTGTTCTCTATGATTCTGTATTTCTGAATTCGGGTGTGGTATTGTAGAAGAGACTCACTGGGTAGATGTGCGGTCAATCAGGTGTCATGCAAAATACGTTCAAATGAGAGAACGTATACGTTTACTAATTTTGAACGAAAAGTTCATGACACAGCATCCATTTTGTACCACAAAGTGATCTCGTCAGTTGTTCATTTTGGACTAATGTGTGATTCTAGGTGTGGTGAATATTTGCAGTGTGGACGAATATTTGTACCATGTATCACACATATCTCCTGGATTTTGCCATTAGTCGTAGTTAAACTGCGGTTTTACGAACAGATATGCGTCCTTGTGAAATCGTGTCGTATTTTCTGAAAGCTTTAATGAGGTTGCAATTCGGACATGGTGAATTTTTGTATCATCAATAAATCGTTTGCTAAAATGTGCGGATGTTGTAACTGCTTCAGCGTTCTGTCCGTAACAAAATTGACCCTGTTAATATGATGACAAAGTGGCGGTCAATCATAAATAGTGAAAAAAAGTAACTAGTCTTTTCACTATATCCTGCTTCCGCAAATTGTGAGAATGATATGATTTTGTGTATAGGTAATAGAGCAGGTGAATTGCGAGATTTTTTTGTATGTGTGCAGTGTGTCGTGCCAACGGGCATGTGTACGTAAAAAATCATGAGTGGGTATGGAGGTATAGTGAAAATGACGACGGAGCAAAGGGGGGCGAATTGGTGTAGCGTGCGGTCCATCGTGAAGAAGCATCCCGTCTATGTTTACGAGGTTATTGTCGGTCAAGACCGTATGTATTCATATGCACGGTGACCTTATAGCTATCTGTAACATGTAAAGGTAGGGGAGAGGCGCATGAAACAAAGATGGGGTATTACAGGAAGGGTATAATCAGGCAAGGAATTAAAAACGGCGGGGTTGGTATAATAGGGAGACATTTTATTTCGTGTAAGGTAATTAATGATATTATTAGCGAGGTTACGAAAAGAGGGTGGAGGACGGGGTCGAGGAGGGGAGGTCACGAAGTAGTCAAGTTGGTAAGGCGGGGCATGCCTGTGAAATTTAGCAATTTGGTTGTGTCTCTAGGATTTTACCATACCAAGAACAACTGATCTACGCTTATTATAGTAGACGCATGGCTAATCTCATTTGTACTGTCAGGTGGGGAGTCTACCCACACCATTGTATCAAGGCTCAAAAACCAGTGTGTGTTTAATAAGAAAATTGCAGCGTAATTGCACAACCTGGCAATGCCAGGAACAGTGATGAACAGATTAGCATACAATCTCATCAAATAAGCATAACATCAAGCTATTCAATCGTAAGGAGCACCACTGTACACCTATAGCCTTTTGCTCATATTTTCCTACTTTTTACCATGCCTTTTTCCAACGTGAGGGAAGAGCAGGGGAGGGGGTATGAAGGAGTGGGGTAGGAAGAAGTAGAAGGAGAAGGAGGACCTTCCTCGACAGGACCAATTTCAAGATTCGAGGAAGGAGGGTGGCGCGTCCCTGAAGCGCTTTTCGCCGTTTGCGCCAAACGGCTCATCAGAGGGTGGGGTAGGCTACGTTTCAAGGTAGGCCTTCTACATCGACARGACCRATTTCCAGTGGAGTAGGGGCGACCGAAGTAGCTTGACAGAGGGATTTAGAGGATGGAATGTGCATGGGGGGTGGGAGTTTGAGCGGGAGGTAGGCGGTTGGTAAGTTGATAGATGTAGAGTCGTGGGATATAAATGGTAGTAGTAAGATATTTTTAGGAGGGAAACTCTTAGCTTTGGGGGTCAAGAGAGCATTTTGGGATGACATCCAAAAGGTACTGTGTGGAGGTTGCTGGTATGTAGGGGATGCTTACCGCGTGCGCGTTGATTTCTGCGTCTGTGATGTGACCGTCCGAAGCTGCAGCCGCCATCGATGGAGGAGGGTGTTGGCTCGAAAAATGGTAGCCAAAGTTCGTCTATGGAGTAGTTGTGTACGGACAAGCCTGGGCTATGCCCAAGACACGTTGTGTGTCTGGGTCTAGCTTTGCAGGCTATGTGAGAAGATAGGGAGGACGAAGTTCGCACACGGTTTGCAGCAGCTGCTGCGGACCGCTAACTGAGTGTGAGGTACCGGAGTCTTGCGACACTGTCTGGTCTGCGCGCGCTTACCTAGGCGGAGGATTACCATGCAAGAGAGGATGAGTGTAGTGCTCGTATTGCTTATAATTGTTGGTTTTTGAATATCGTGTGGGCCCTGGGGTTAGTAGTTTTGGTGGGAGTGTGGGTTGGAGCATTCTGCCCGTCAGGCTGTGTGCAATTCCAGTGTCCGCAGACGGGTGGGGGATGTTTACTGTGTTGTACTGTTTTGAGGGGTTTTGATAGGTTATTAATATATCTAGGTTCGGCATGGGTATGTGTTACGATGTTTGTTTTTTCTGGGGGTCTGTAGCAGGCAGCCTGTGGAAGTCAGTATGGCGGGATATCTTGTTTGTTTGCTAGTGGCTTGGTCCCTTTTCATCCATTTCCGTCGTCAGACTTCCAGAAGTCTGTTTCCTTTCGTGGTCAAGGTGTGGTCTGCTGTGTATAAGTGACACGATAGCATGTGCTCGTATTTGTACTTTTTTTTCATTTTGTGTGTAGGCATTTTTTGTTTTTGTATAGGGGTGTATCGATTCTGCTACGTCTAGTTTCCACTCGTGTGTCTTCATTGGCTTTGTGTCTCAGAGGTCTCTTATTTGTTTTACTGGGGCAGGCATTTCTGGGCCTGTATCGGTTATTTATGTGTCAGTAGCATGTTTCGGGGGTTCATTTATTATTGGGTTTGTAAACCTTTTGAGGAAAGCGGACGTAGTACTAGTGTATATTCAGACAACAGTTTCATTTTGTTACTTCTGTGTGGTTCGTGTGAGTAGTAGTTTAACGGTCTGTTTCTAATTAATTATAATTTATCGGGGGGTTGGAGGCCTGTGTTTGCTTTATATGGGTATGTTTATTTAGTATCAAGGAGTATTCTTATTTTCTTCTACGACACATGCCGTTAGTAGGTGTACGGGTATGTTATGTTTTATGGGTTTGTAATCCTGTGCGAGCTACGTGTATGTGTGTGAGTGCAGGCTTAAATTGTGTGTGTACGTCTTGATCTGTACTGTGT